TGGTGGCTACTCGCGTCGGTTGAGCTCATCATCGTCTTCATCCTCTACTCGAGCGACTCAGCGCGGGGATGAGGAGAAGAAGCGGCGTGGCGCGGGGATGAGAAGTGGAAGCGATTTTTCTATTGGTGTGTGACTCGCGTGAGGATAAGCACGAGAGGCAACTGTGGGGTCACGAACCATTCCTTGCATTGTGGGGTGGGAATAAGTTCATCAAAGGTCCCTTAACTTGTCAACGAATCCGATTTTCGTTCTTTAACCGCAAAACCAGATACAACGGGTCCCTCAACTATCAAAACCAGTGCAGATGAGGTCTCTCGGTGGTTTTGACGGTGGTTTTGGCTGACGTGGCACCTATGTGGCAAATTTGACTTAGTCTTCATCTGATGTGGCATTGACGTGGCGCATACGTGGCAATTTGATCTGGAAAAATAATAAACTTCGTGGGACCCACATGTCAGTCTCACACATAAATCAATAAAAGAATGGTGGGGCTCACGTGGGCCCCAATGTCAGCCACAAGTCCCTCTCGGCTCTCCTTTCTCCTCCTCTTCGCTCTCCCTCGTCCTCGCGGCGGCGGCAGGAGCATGCCGGCGGACGGAGCGGCGGAGGGACGGGCGGAGCGGCGGTAGGCCGCGGGCGGCGGAGGTTGCCGGAGGAGGAAGAGGCAGAGGAGGAGGTCGCCAGCGAGCGCGACAGCTACACTCCGTTGGCCGCTCCGCCCGCGATGTCCAGTTGAACGGCGCTGCCCTCCTCGCTCGGTCGCCGCGCGCCGCCTCCCTCCTCGCCTTGCCGCCACACGCCGCCTCCCTCCTCGCCCGACCGCCACCGCCGACATCCTCGAAGATCACATCTGGGTCGGAGCTGCCCCTCCCCTCGCCCGGCCGCCTCAAAAAACCCAAGCTTTTGCCGCCGCCCCGACTGGCTGACCATCCCAAGAAAGAAGGCACCTCCTCGTCGCCTCTGCTGCCTCCACACTGCCCGCGGCGTGAGGGCCCTAGACCTCCGGGAGGGCTCCGGCGAGGTCCCGGCGGACCGCGAGTTGGAAATGCAATTAACAGATTCAAATATTCAATTCGCTTCTTGATTGAGCAAGTTATAGGTGCAAGGATTTTACTTATATGTATAATGAAGCTATTAATATTCCCTCTTGTGATGCTATATTTGCGATATGCTTGGCTCTGTCTGGATATTGGTTGCCGCGAGCTTTACTTATATGTCTGCTGCTGCTAGCCGTAGTTGACGAGGAGACGCAGAGCGGCGAGATGTCCTCGAGGGCATCACGCTAGGCAACGCCCTGGAGAAGGAGAAGAACAAGCTACGTGGCGGCGATGACCCGTCGCGCTGGTCCGACGAGAAGAGCGGCAGCGGCAGGGAGTGGTCAAGCCTGGGATGGGGCACGGCGATCCTCGGCACGAGCAAGCGGTACTGCGCATATGCGAGGAAGGCTCGTTTGGCGACGGACGGCCGTGGCAGTCCGAGGGTTGGCGGGGAGAGGAGGAGCGGCAAGCCGGCGGCGGGTTCGGCCTGGTCAACGGCGCTGCCTCCCCATGCGCTGCCTCTGCTCGTCCTCCGTCTTCAGCACGTCGCGCGGCGGGTTCGGCCTGGTCAACGGCGAATCGGCGATGGCGGGGCGGCTGGGTCCAACGATGAGCTCCGTGAGGGAGGAGGCGAGCTCCTTGTGCTCCGACGGAGGAGGGGCTCCCACTCCGTCCCCTCGTACTCGGGTTCCGGCGACGAGAACGGTGGTGGTGGTGACGAGAACGCCGCGAGCTTCCATGGCAGGTTCTTGTCGCGTCCGGTGCGGGCGAGGAGGGTGCGGGGGAGGAGGTGGCGTGGCCGCCGTGTTCCGTCTCGCCGCCGGCGCCATCCATCGGTGGGCACCGGTCGATGCAATCCACGAGAGAGAGAAGGGTGAAGGCCGAAGGGGAAGATGAAAGGTGATGAGGATAGAGATGACATGTGGGGCCCACGTGGGTCCCACTATTTTTTAATTATTTTGTGTGTGAAGCTGACATGTGGGTCCCATGGGTTTTATTATTTTTTTCATATCGGATTGCCACGTAAGCGCCACGTCAATGCCACATCAGATGAAGACCGAGTCAAATTAGCCACGTAGACGCCACGTCAGCTAAAACAGCAATCTAAACCGCCGAGGGACCTCGTTTGCACCGGTTTTGATAGTTGAGAGATCTATTGTATCTGGTTTTCCGGTTGAAGGATGAAAACCGGATTCGTTGACAAGTTAAGGGACCTCAGATGAATTTATTCCTTGTGGGGTGCGTGACCTAGATATGATTTTGGGCCAAATTCATCGCTGGAATGGGCCATCTTGCACTGTGACTGCCCATAGTGTGGTGAGGTCTCTTGGAAAATTTTCTAACCAGCGAAGTGCAAGTGACATATTAATTCTTTACTTTTTCCTATCAGTTGATACCCACTAACAATTATTATAAGCTAAAACTCAACATACAAGTATGCCATATCATCACCACTAGTAATTACTATTTTAGCCCATTTAAAATCACATCCAAGCATACCACATCTTCACTCACTAGCCATTACTATTCTAACCTATTTTAAATCCCATGCAAGCATGACACATCATCTATAATATTATATTATAGAGATTAATAAGTATGTGTCAAATCATCTTCCTCACGTTATTTTTTCAATATTTCAAGTTTCATCATTTCGATAATATTTTATATATACTCATCCATAAATTCTGTAGCAAAGCACAGGTACATCCTATCGGCAGCATTACTGTGAGGAAATTGAAAGCACCTATCTGAAAGAAAAAAAAAATGAAAGTACTCCCATTCACTGTAAATATGATAAGTTTAATATGGCACGCACGTAGAGTATTGACATTTGACCAGTTCACTCCCATTCCCAACGATATACCGTTTGTCCGTACTGTCGTACAAATGTATACAATAATACTCCTACAAGCCGTTGCATGTGGTGCAGCGCACAACAACGCGCACATGCGATGTGAGCGCGTGCCTACCCGAATCGACGCCCCAACCAACCACCGATTCCCAGTGTGTGATTAAATTTCTCAACAACGAGTGTCGTCCACCAACCCTGTCGCCAAGCAAAAATCAGGTTGTGTGATGCGTGGGCATCACCAGATCTCACGTGTCACCCCACGTTGCCCTGTCGCTTTGACACGGCCTAATCGCGGCGCGGATCAGGCAGGGGAGGACAGCTGTCCAAGTCCTGACCAAACTTAGCTCGCAGTCGGTGTGCTCACTCGCTGTGTCGCTCAGCATCAGATTCCCCACCTGCAATGGCACACTTAGAGCAGGTACAGGCTATAAGCCAGCTATAAATATATTTTAAAGAGATAAAAGAAAAAAAAAGAAGATTAACGGGCTACAGATCTATAGCCAGCTGCAGCACGGGCTCCAAACAGGGGCGTACCTACGTGTATCTACCCGGTGTCCCCGGACACCAGGTAGCTTGTCTATTTCTAGGTGTTTTAGGGTCATATTAAGCATTATATCACTCATAAATTAGCCTATAAGCATATCAAGGACCCCCGGTAATTTTTGTTCTGGGTTCGCCACTGGCTCTAAGATATAATGTGTGTATGACAGGTGGGACCAGCTATTGATAGTATAGTAAGTATCTATTGTATGAATTGGCTATTACATTGGCTATAAATGATTTGGAGCCAGTAGTGGGCTATATTATTAAACTTGCTCTTATGGTTGATTAGATTACTTGATCATGGGCAAGGCCAATGTATGATGTATATACACATCTTAAGGTGGGACCCATAAATAGTTAGCATTTCTTATGGTATGATGCACAATGTATATGGTTTTTAACATGGGTTCCACTACAAAATAAAAAAATTAAGATGGCTGCCAACTTCTTTGAGATAGTAGGGAGAGAGAGAGAGGATGTGTAGGAAGAAAAAAATACTTGTTTATTCACTATGGCTAGATGTAAGCTTAAGATGCATCATAAGAAATTTTTTCCTATTGCTAACTTGCACAATGTATAAGGTGTGTCTCAAGAATATATTTATTACTTAAGCTTACCTTTTTAGCACATTGTGGTTAGCAGTGTACAGCTAGATTGGGAATGTCGCAAAGCACGCCTGCTTTACAGGCACAGACTCTGACCGAGACTGTAGCTCTGAGGTAGTATGTACAGTACTCTGAGCTCCAAACAGCTAAACATCTTTGCCATCACTCGCCCGAATCAGATTCTCTCGTTGCGATTGCACACTGCTTGATTAGATTACCAGACCAGATCATTAGGCTATTATTGCGTGTACCGCTTGATTGGGATGTAACAAAGCGAACCTGATTTCCAGGCACAACATCTGACCAAAACTGTACATATGAAACGAAATCTGATGTTTGAAGTACTCTGAACATGAGGCCATTCCTGTTAAAAAATCAGGTCATCCTGTTCGACAAATGTTTGATGCTGCTTCACTCAAGGAACACCAATAATGTAGAAACACCCGAAGGCACTCAAAAGTGAAGCGTTTCTCATTTTCTCTACCTGCATACTACCACCTTGCAAGACACACAAAGAACAAAGAACCTGAAGATTACAAACACAGACTCAATCTGATCTACTCAAGCTGTATATGAAATAAACTTTCATATGAAATCTTTCCTATCATGTATTTGCAGGCACTGATTTTAACTAGATAAGTACTGCATCCACATTGTTATATTGCTACTAGGGAACTGCTTGAATCCTCTTTCTATATACTTCATGCCACATTCTCATATTTGTTCACTTGGCAGATATTTGGAAATGAATATAGTACACAAGTTTTGTAGGCTCACTTCTGACCAAGCTCGTAACTTCAAAAGGAAACACCAATTAAACTATCTCATACCTTGCCCTTTTCTGCTCATCACAGCGATATTGCTTCAATCCCACACAACAAATTGGAATATATCTATAAGAACACCATAAGACACTCAACAATGTACCATTTCGGTACTTGCAAGGTGCAACCACAGACATAACAATAAGCAACTGAACGTTACTAGTATATAGGAACAAACAATACCATATAACCTACTAAATTCGTATATCCATTAAGCCTCCTCAAGCAGCCTTGGTATGTATTTACATGTACCTGATTTTCACTCATAGCTAGCTCCGATCGAACTCGATCTTCCTCGCCCACTAGAGTAAATCCCAACCAACAACATAGCCGAAAGATCAGATGTCTCACTATACATGCTTCAGCTAAGGCCCCACCCCCATATCCGATGTACACATGATATCAGGAACTGGAATTGATTCAATGCCAGTAATTTCATCTAAGCAAATTCAATTCCCTGAGGATCCTACTCTAGTGTACACGATTGAGCCGCACAAACTTACTGAGCATGGAAGCAAGAACCTTCATCCATTGCAGATGGCATTGAGGAGCACATGCCCCAGCATGAGGTCCACGAAATACTGGTGCCCGACCTTGCCATCCCGCCATAACAACTTCGCCGGTGCACGCCCATAGTGAACACCATCATTGCAACGATTGTCATAGTGCCATGGGAAGGTCATATCGAAGTTGTCGATCAACCCACCAGTGAGCACCCCATGACGCCTCAACTTCTCGACGAGCACCCCATTGAACGCCTCCATCTTGCTAGGATTGAATGCCAGGTCCCGAGCATACCCGCCGGTCGCGATGGTCGTTCGGTAGAACATCCTCGGCACGGCATGCCCACGCGACCGCACTTCAGCCATAACTCCAGCCCAGAATTGTGCAGCATACTCAGCAGCCTGCACATATGCGCGGACGCTGGTCCAGTAGCACCCGTCGTGCAGGCCAGAGTTGAGGATGACAATGTCCGGGGCACGGTCCTCAGCCAAGAAGTATGAACGGACAAGACGCTGGAACCCCTTGTTCCGGAGGGAATGCAGACCAAGATAGTTCATGCTCATGTTCCAGTGGCCATTGAAAATGCTCGTGATCCTCACAGTCCCCGGCCCGCCACTGGGGTTCGTGAACGCGGCGTCGAACCGGCGCGTCACGGCGGACGTGTTCGTGACGCCGAGGACGAAGGTCAGGAGGTTGCGGATGGTGTCGACGTGGTTGGAGTCGCCCCAGAAGAAGAGCCACTTGCCGTCCAGGCACCGCCACGCCGCGTCGGCCGTGAAGAGGCTGAACGAGCAGTGCGCCGAGTAGACCCACCCGTTGCTCTCCAGCGCGCCCAGTGGCCCCGCGCACCATGGCGCCTCGCATGGGTGCTGCGGCTCCAGGCACCGGTACCTGCCGGCGTCGTCCACCTCCTCGCAGCTGTCGTTCTTGGCGAGGCGCGTCCAGCGGCCGGACCACACGTCGCGCGCGAAGTCCGCGGCGCGGCAGGTCTCCAATGCCGGGAGGAAGCGCGTGGAGTTGCTCGGCCCGAACAGGAGGGGAATCCGGCGCATCTCGGCGTGGTACTTGAACCTCAGGGAGGAGAACTTGAGGCCCTCGAAGCTGCGGAACAGGAGGATGATGGTGAGGCGGAAATCCCCCTCGGCGAAGCGCGGCGCGACCTGGAGGCGGAAGGAGTAGGAGCCATCGCCGTGGTCCACGACGGGGGGCCGCGACTTCCACTCGTCCCCGGCGAGATCGATCTCGAAGAAGTCCCCGCCAAGGCAGCGCCGCTGGCCGGCGTCGTCGAGCGCCCAGAACGTGAACTCGTGGATCTCGGCGGAGCCCAGCGTGGTCACCTCGCCCGCCGCCGCGGCGTCGTCAAGAACAGGGATGGAGATGTTCGCCGTACGGGAGTCGCGGCACGGAGTCCCCCCGGGCGTCAGCCACCGGTCGATGAGCTCCTCCGTGAAGTTGGACGGGTCCGGCACTGAGAGCCAAGGAAGCTCGTTGTTCTTGGCCTCTTCGCCACCGCCACCAACCCCGCCACCACCGCCACCCCCGCCGCCGTCGCCGATGTAATGCAGGTATTGGAGCCGCAGCCGCCGGTTCGCCCCGGCGCCGGTGAGGGACAGGTCGACGGCGAGGACGAGGATGACAGCGAGGAAGGACACGAGCGCGAGCTTCGCCGCGGAGGGGCCGCCGCCCCCGACGAGCTTCCTGGGGAGGAAATGGTGGTCGCCGACGCCGACGCCGCACCACGACAGGTTCTTGGGGTCGCCGCCGAGGTGGTGGGCCTTCCTGGCGTCCCCGGCGGCGATGCCGTGCGGCGGGTGGTGCGCCGACATTGCCGGGGGGGGCGTGGAAGGGGGGGTTCCCTACTCGGGACCCGTGGCGTGGCCTCGCATCCGTTCGAGCTGGTCGCGCGGGGAGAGGAGAGGAGGGGGGGTTGTGGTTGTGCGAGCTGCTGCGCCGGATTACTCGGTGCGTTGCGTTTTTTTGGGGGGTTTGCAGCGAACGCGACACACCGAGTCGTTGGAGGGAGAAGGAAGAAGGGGGACGAGACGACGTGTTAAATGGATCTTTTCTGTTGCACCGAAAAATGCATGTGCTTTACATCACGAGAGAGCTCGAAAAAAAAAAGCGTTTAGGTGGTTTTTTTGACGAGGGGAATGTACAGCGCCTGCGTTCGCAAGCGACGCAGAGGATCCTAGGCCGGAATCCGTCGTGCCACTGTGCCTCCCCTCCTCTTTTCTATCTTCACCTTTTTAGCCGTTCTAGGCGGGTGTTGGGCATCTGTGTGTGTATGTGTGTGGGTGTTCGTTGTCCCTGCCTCGGCAGTCGGCACGGAGAGATGTGCTGCTGGGGGGTCCCTCGCGCGCGTATGTCCAGGCGTCCGTCCTCCTCGAGTCCATCCGTTTGACCCTCCTGACTCGGTGCGGCTCACCTCAACGCTTTTGCCATCGGTGCTCAGCTCAAGTGCGCGACGCTTTTGCCTGTCTCCCGGTTCGCGGCTTTCGTCTTCGGACGCGATTCCCGCGCGATCACTGGGGATCGTAGCTTTCTTCTTCGGTGAGTGGTGGCCGTCGTGGCAAGAGACGCGCGGTGGCCGGTGGGAGAAAGTTGGTTGGTTGGTTGGTTCGTCGGGCTGGCGCGAGGCGAGACCGCGAGACCGATGATCTTGCGATGTTGGTGGTGTGTTTGCGGTGAGCTTTGCCGTCTTTTTCGGTTGGGACTTGGGAGTGGTTCGGTTTCCGCAGTGATGGGTGTGAATGTGGTATGGTGCGCTGATGGGGGTTGGCAGTTGTCTGGCGCCTGGCGCAGGCCGAGTTTGGTGAGAGTACGCCCTTCATCCTCATATCTCAACAAGCCCTAACGGCTAACACAAATATTAGAAAAAAATTAATTACTTTCTTAGTAAGGAACATATCCTATACACATAAATTTCCCATACACACCAAATAACAAATATCATAGAAAATTCTAGCAAAATTAAACATATACTCCAAATAGTATTGCATATATCTGCAAAGTCTCACATTTAAATTCATTATATTTTAGCTATAAAAAAATGAAAAATCTGACAATTTTTAGCTAAAAAATGTCATTTTTTACGGCTAAAATATAATATATTTGAAAATAAGATTTTATACGTTGGTGTAATATTATTGAAAATATGTATCCGTTTTTTTAGAACTTTCTATGACATATGCTAGTTGATGTGCTGGAGTGTGCACGTGAAGCTTACGTGCATAGGATATGTTCCCGGTTAGATTACATCCATGCATATAAGCAATATGATTAGAAAGCTTAATGGTAAAGGATTTAAAACATATTAAATTTATAGTACAAGAAGAAGTGTTAGTTAATGTGTGGATATAAGGAGAAAATTGATTTTATCTTATATTTTAGCATGAAGAGAGTATTACTACTTTTCTTTGCGAGTAGAGCATTGGGTGGGTCAAGAAAATTTGGAAATCCACTAAAACATTAGGCATAGAAAACACCCTATTCGGTCGAAGTTCCCTAATGGCCATCAGCGGTGGCTCCACGCTTCCACCAGACGAACACTACAAAAAGGATGAATTGCCTTGTGCAAAGCTTCTATTAATACGATTCGTGCTTTTCACTATTTGTTCTTTGAAAAATGTCAAAACAGTGGTAAGAAATCGGTCATGACATACAATAGAATGATATTTCAATTGTCATGCGCCAAAAGTGCTGCATTAAGCCGGACTCGTTTGGCATAGGAGAAAATGTATTGATAGGAGAAAAAACAATTGGCATGGTAAACACCCTTATTCGATGAAACTAGTATTTTTCTTAGAACTATGAAACTAGTAATTAAAGTGTCATAAGTCGTAACCAGCCGAATCCTACAGCAAATAAAAACATAAATATGTGTTTTTTTCTATTCATTTGTTTTCAAATTCTTGCGTTCGTAAGGAGAATAAAAAGCACAGGAAATGAACCAAGGCCGAGTTTAGTTTCAAAATTTTTCTTCAAACTTTCAACTTTTCCATCACATCAAAACTTTCCTACAGACACAAACTTTCAACTTTTCCGTCACATCGTTCCAATTTCAACCAAACTTCTAATTTTGGCGTGAACTAAACACACTCTTAACCCTACAGGAATTTTAGAGCCCATTCCTGCAATTCATAGAACCTTCTAGGAAAATTTCTATATTTAAAATTCATTCCGAAGGAGCCCTTAGCAAATTCTGGAACTTGGAAGTGATTTACAAACAATCCGTTAGAGCAAGTTTAATAGTATAGTCAACTGTTGGCTCTAAATCATCTATAATCAACTTAATAGCCAATTCATAGCCAATTCATACAATAACTAGCAAGGTGGCCCGCGCAATTGCGTGGCTAGCACCCATGTAAAATTATTTTTTTTTACATATGATTTTACATAAAATTTGTTAAATAGCTATCTCGTTTTCTTAAGACTTTGAAAGACCGAACCTTAATATCCCATATTATTTTATAGTTTTTAAAAGTTACACCAGTTGCTACCCCTTACTCCTTTGTTGCTCAATTTGCCACGGTTTCTATTCATTTTCCTTAGAAGCTTTAAAATTTAAACCTTGTAGTTTTAGAGTTCATTATCTCATTGGGTTTTGTTTTCATAATTTTTAGAAGTGTTGTCAAACACTACCATTGTACACTTCTACAGCCTGCCTACCGCCTACTCTCTTTATTTTCTTTGGGATTTTAAAAATCAAACATAATTATTATTGGGGTTCATTTTTTACTTTTTATAAGTCTCGCGAAATCATCAGCGGCTTCGCCACTGTACTCCTCTACGACCCGCCCGCTGCCTTCCATTTTTATTTTCATTGAAATTTGAAAAATCGAACATGTATTATTTGGGTTTACTTTTTACTTTTTAGAAGACCTGTCAACCGCCGTGACCATTATGCTTAATGGCATGCCCATTGTCCCTCCTCTTAATCATCATTATGATTCTATTTGGGCTTTATTTATAGTTTTTATATGTCCTATCAAATGCCACCACTCTAATTCTTTACGGGTTTGTTTCTTCTCATCTCTTTATTGTCATTTGTTATCGTTGTGTTCTAGATAAACTATTTTTTAAATTCCATATTTTTCATTCCATTACTTTTTTTATTTGTAGGTTGTATTCATACTTGAACTCTCATAATTTTTTTCTATTTTTGGAATTTAGTTTATTTTTATTCTGAATTTTACTTAATCTCGTAATGTGTTCTAAGTGATCTCTTCCAATGGTCTTTATTTTAAATCCAAATTTTAGTTATTTATAAATTGTATTCCTAGTTTAACTCTTATTTTTCTTTTTCTAATTTTGGATTTTATTTTATATTTTTATTTTGAATTTTAGTTAATCTCGAGTTATGTTCTATATGGACTATTCTTTTAATATTCTTTATTTTATTTTTTTATAGTTGTCTCACCAGGTTTTCTTTTATAGTTGTTAGAAATTTCGTAAAACGTCGCCACACTACTTCTTTACGACGCGTCCATTGCCACTTTTTTTATTGTCGTTAGGATTTGAAACATTGAAATTGATCATCGTTGTGGTTCCTTTTTTAAGTTTCTAGACGTCCCATCAACTGTCGCCACCCCACTCCTTTACAACCTGCCATCCACCCCTTTTGTTTATTGCTATTGAGATTAAAAAGTTTCAAAGCTAATTGTCATTGGGGTTCTATTTTATATTTTTCAGATGTCCCTTCAATAGCTGCCACATTACTCTTTACAATCAGAACATTGTTACTCCTCTTTATTATCGCTGGGATTTTAAAAATTAAACATGATCATTGTTGGGTTTTTTTTTTCTTTTATATAGTTTTGAAGTTTCACTAGCCATCATTTCTCTACTCCTTTGTCCCCTCTTGGCTTGTCGTCTTAATAATTTTATAGAATTTATTTTATTTGTTATTTTGAATTTTAGGTAGCCTCGAGTTATGTTTTATATGGTCTCATCTTTTAATATTCCTCATTTTTATTCAGAATTTCAGTAATTTGTAAATTGTATTCGAACTCTCATTTTTATTTTTCTGATTTTGGAATTTACTTTACTTTTGATTTGGAATTTGAAGTAATCTCTTGTGGTGTTCTAGATATACAATTCTTTCGAAATATATTTTTATCCGATTAAATTATTTCTAAATTGTATTTCTACTTGAACTTTAACTCTTCCTTTTATTATATTAATGTGATAATTTTCATTCTAAATTTTTCTATTATTTATAAATTGTATTCCTACTTAAAATCTCAATTTTATTTTATAATTTCAGAATTTATTTTATTTTTACTCCAAATTTTAATTAATCAATCTCATGTTTCATTTAAGATGGTATCTTCTTGCAACATTTCTTATTTTTAATTATGAATTTTAGCTATTTCTAAATGGTATTCCTGCATAAACTATTACATTTTTTCTAATGTTGAAATTTATTTTATTATTTTCGAATTTTAATTAATCTTGTCTTGTTTTCCAGATATATTCTTTTAATATTCTTATTATCGAATTACAATTATTTTTTCCCTTCTACCCAAAAGTGCGCACATATATCAGATTGCACTTCTGACTGATGAAGCTGCCATGAAGGTGAAGGTCTTATGACATAAAATTATCTTTCTTGCGACGACTCATCTTTTATGAAATTATTAATTAAGTATATATTGAATTACGCACATATCTTTAGCCGCTGGCGTTTTGTATTTAGATTGCCTAATTAATCATAAGCCAGTGCCGCCATATGTATATGGCCTTTACTGCTAGGCTTGTGCATACAGCATATGGTATGCTATATGTATGTACTGTTTAGTTGTTGGCAAAATCTAATTCGTGCGCCCTCTCTGTTTTGCCTTATCGCGCTACATGTTCATCTGCCGTCTGATCCCACAAGTGCTGGTGCTTCCGTACATGACTTGGTGGTTTACGGACGTGGCATCATTTAGAGGAATTCAAATTGGAAGCCATGTGATGCTCTACGCTACACCAGCTTCAAAAACAATTTTCTCTTAAACTAATCATCCGATCTACGATCCGATTACACCGTTGTATTCGTAAGAATTGAATCTTTATAACAAGATCTCACATGAATATATT